TGCAAATCAAATATGATGGTACCATACCAAAAGTGTACTTGTACCAAGGAATATACCTGTGAAATATGAAAGCCCTAGCTGCAACCATTGAAAAGATATGGAAAGGTTGAAGATTTTCAGAAGTAGGTCAAACTCCAAGGTCAAGGTCAAAGGGTCAAAGTTGCAGGTATCCAAAGGAAGGTCTTGTCACAAGAATTACACATGTGAAGTTTGAAAACACTAGCATTAACCGTTCAAAAGTTATAGCCATTGTTAATGTTTTTCAAAAGTAGGTCAAACTCCAAGTTCAAGGTCAAAGGGTCAAAGTTGTTGGTATCCAAAGGAAGGACTTGTCACAAGGATTACACATGTGAAGTACGAAAGCCCTAGCGCCAACCGTTCAAAAGTTATGGCCAAGGTTAAAGTTAAGAAAAATTTTGTAAAACTTTGGTCAAGGTCAAAAGGTCAAATGTGATGGTACCCAAAGAAAGGTCTTGTCACAAGGAATATACATGTGAAACATGAAAGCTATAGCTTCAACTAATCAAAAGTTATGAGCAATGTTAAAGTTTTTGCGGACAAACAGACAAACAGACAGACAGACAGCTAGACAGACAGACGGATAGACAGGGCAAAAACTATATACCCCCGAATCTTTGATACGGGGGCATAAAAATATTCTTAAAAAAGATAAATTTGTTAAAAATCACTAATTTAAGGCTAAAGCAGAAAATAAATCAGCCCTGTTCGTTATTATATATTTATCGATATATTCGTTTTTAGCATATGTAACTATAGTGTAAAATTCCCACTTTCGATTTCATTGCACATAATGGTTTTTATGGTTTATAAAAAGAGTAGAGCTGCATTTATATTGTTTACATGTGCAGGCCTGTAGGAAGCAAAATCAATTTGGGGGGCTCAGCCATACATTTTCAGTTGACAGTTGAGGAGGCACTACCAAAAGTTTCCTGACAAGCAAAAAAGAAAAAAAAAAGGTCATCAGACGTTTTTATTGAGGGGGCACAAGCATATAGTATCTATGTTTACTATAGTAATCGATATATCGAAAAAATTATTAGGGGGGGGTAAGGTCCCCCGTGTCCCCCCCCCCCCTCCGTTCCTACGGCCATGATGTGGGTTACAGTCATAAGTGAAAGACATGTATGGGTGGTCATTTATCCTTGTCTTATTGTCCTACAATCAGCGCAAGATTGATTTTATACAACAAAATATTGTTTAAAAAAGTCTTACCCGCAGAAACAATAAGAGCTGTTCCTATATTTTCTTTTCAGTTTTCTTTTTTAAATATTTTTTTGTACAGAGTGGTGGTGCCGCACCAGCCTCCCCCCCCCCCCTTCTTTCTGAGGAAAAAAATGTGAGGAGTAGGAAAGTCTAAAGCAATTTTTCAATTTCTATATTGATTTCTATTAATAAACAATAAAGAAAATTAAATTCAAAACAACTTATGGGATTAAACTTTAAATAATTACATTAATTGCAAGTTTTGCTGTCATTAGTTTGTGACCCCCCCTTTTTTTAACCTCACTGGAAGTCTTGGATCTACCTCCCCTGAAAAGTCCTTTCTACATATCATAATACTAATAATTAATTAATACTGAGGAAGGAGATTCAAGTGTACTATACCAGAATAAGCTGACAATAGATTTAAAAAATATTATTATTACATGTATTATATAAAATTTTTTTACTTCGTTGGGTATAAAATAACCAGCTATAAACAACTTACGCCCATACGTTTCAAAGAATATATTCTTGGTTTATTGTTTTGAGTTTTAAAAACATTTTAAGGACTCTCTCTCTCTCTCTCTCTCTCTCTCTCTCTCTCTCTCTCTCTCTCTCTCTCTCTCTCGCTCTCTCTCTATGAGATTTCATGGTGCTGAATTCTTAGATAAAACAAAACTGCATACTTACAGTCGCAATGAAGAAATGGTGGCAGATAAAAAAAAATGAAGAGCAATTTATATGTAGTGTACTTTATTTTGTTTAATTTTATTCGTTATTTTGTCTCAATAGATTTCAAACCACTACCCCCAACTGTCTGACGATCAGAAGCATAAATTACTTATATTGTGATAGTAACAATAAAATATTTGGGGCACAGTAAAAGATGCATAAATATTTTATACTGGATTTATAAGACATACTCTGATATTTTGTATTCATTTTTACTCACTGGGGTGTAACTGAATTATGTTTCACAAATGATGAGAAAATCAGTTGTGTTATATGTACACATGCATCATCAATATCTTCACTTGGAATTTATTAAATGCAGACATATTGAAAAATATATATGCTTTTGAAGCAGGATGGAAATTTACCCTTTTGTGTTCATGCATAAGAATCATCTCAGAGGATTTTTTAAAATACAATTATTATATCGATAGCTTATACATGCTGGTACAAAAGTATATAGTTATAGTATATGTGTATGTGTGTATCGATATCGGGTTTCGTCACTTGATGAACCCGCGCCCTCGACCTAGATTCTGTTTAGCGGAAAAGTAAATGATTATCCAAATGCGTTTTTCCCCTTTTTTAATATTCACTTTGCACAGCAAGCTATGTTTTTATTATTTTGCTTGTTTTACAAAGGTCTAGCGTGATATCTTTGCTACATTCTCTTTTAATTTGTTTACAATTTGAGTCATGTCTGTTAAGACGCACAGCATTATTAAAATTGTCACAAGAATATCAAAAATAAATAAAATGAAATTATATATAAATTTAAAAAATGCTTAAATATAAGATTGTAGGTCTAATAACAGCTTTAAAAAAACAGGCATTGTGGGGTTGGGGTGGGGAAGGGGTGTTAAGGGCAGTAAAGAAAACAATTTGGCGTTAATTTCTGATAATTAATAATTTGATGGTATCATCCAGTTGGGCTTAAATCATACAAATAATGACAGCATTCGAGAGCATAAAAACTTTTCAGCAACATTCGAAATAGTTTCCAGCCTTTATGACGTCACAACTGACGTATTATTAGTAACGTCATATGTAATAATGGACCTATTCACAATAAAAACCATGTTTTGCCAGATATTTATTTTAGAAAATGTTTAATCTTGAGGGTATTTTTCCCACAATAAGCGTTTTAAACGAACAATAAATTGCTTTTTTCGCATATTTTGTGAAATTTATAATTTTTTATTGTTGTATGAATTAAATGTTAACGATTGATTCACAAATTAGTGATTATTTAATGCATCAAAATGGCCACACCCACGAACAACAACGATAATAAGCATAAAAATTTGTATCGGCAATATCTATATCTATGGTAAGTATAAAAGTTGTTCTTGACTGTGGCCACATCTAACTTTGGGAAAATCTGTCGAAAAATCGACATTTTTTAACTTTTTTATCACACCGTCGCATGTTCCAACCGTCGCACTTGCCTAATGGCGCATTATTTAACAAAATAAGTTACGTATGGAAAACAAGTATGTTGTCCTCTAACATTTAATGTATAGCACTCTTGTTGAATCGAAACTTTATTTTTGTGAAAAACACAGGGCCAAATTTGATGGTTCGTGGCTTTAGCGCTTTATATACAATTATGCAATACAATAAATATTATACTTTCCTTTTTGTACATTTACAGATCAAACACAAACGACTGCTTTCAACGCAGTGCTGACAAGCAATATAAGTGCACTTACCAATGGGGCTATAGTAAATGTGATACTTTAAATTGAAAGTTTGGAAATGCTATGGCAAAGACACTAGTGTTTTCACTGCTAAAATGGCCGGTGTCTATTCCTTTAGCCAGTGCTTTTGACAAAGAAGGGATATACTGCCGTTGTTTGTGGATATGTCGATGCAAAATTATATTCTCGTGCAACAATTTACAAGCAGGCTAGCACCTGGATGACTACTTGTGGAAACATGATAGATACACTGAAGAAGGGAAGCAAAGTTTCAACAAGAAATTATTCCGGGATGAATATTAATCTGCATCGGGCGTATTCATATTTTTCAAGTTATGAATTGTAAATGAGTATCTGCTCCAACTGCGGATTACGTTTGACCCTGAAATAAATTCTTGAATTGATATTTCTTTTTTATTTGCAATCCTTGAATCACATGGAAACATAAAGACCGTTTCATATTTGAGGAAATCAAATAAAGCAATTTTATTTCAATTGATAATGAAAAGTTAACAATGTATATTTCACAGCATGCAAAACAAAAGGCTTTTAAATCTTAATTGAATGACTATAGTAGTCCTAAAATTCAAATACCTTACTTCTGTTTGGGATCCATAGGAAAGTTCAGACTTGATTACAATGGCGAATACAATCCGTTTACAAGTCCTAAAATCCGATTTTGTAATAAAAAAAAAAAAATATAAAAAGTCCTATGGGCACATCTAATTATTTAACGTTTAATCACTTTGCCTTTCATTATTTATAAACATGATGGATTATTCCATTGATGTTGATTTTTGTGTAAAGGTTGGTGACAATAAAATGATAGTGGTGCAAGGATAAATAGATATACATATATGTAGTAATGCATCAATAAGTATGTATGCACACATCATTATATAACCCTTGATTTGAGAGATAACAAATAATCTGTTTTCAAAATTGTGTAGTGATAACTATGTATCTTAAGGACAGATGATACAAACAAAAAATGGGTTCCAGGATTGGTATATATATTTTGGATCTTATTTAGTTGCAAATGATGTGAATAATAAATTTCTAAAATATGAAGATAATAGTGTAAACTTTTTGTGATATTCAAAAGTTTTGCCTTTCTGTAACCATCGTTATTTACCTATACAACTTTTTGTCACTTTAAGTATCATTATTGTCTGTAAGTGATATGTTTTAAAGAAAATAATGAGTTACGTACCTTATATATAGGTCTGCATTTATTGTAAAAAATAGTTTGGATGAACAGAGGAAATGTTACCTCTAAACACTAAATTAAAAACAGAGGAAATGTTACTTCAAATTCTAAACACTAAATAAAAATAGGTGAAAAAATGTTCAAATTACTTTGAGTTAGAGGCATGTAATATTTAAATACACATATTCTTTAAAAATTGTTATTTTTCTGAACGTGAACTACAATGTATACTAAACTTTTGAAAGATGATCCTTTTAAATATTTATCGAAACAATTTTTCTTTTTCTCAATCCTTACGTTCCACAGCTTGTGGTTAACATGGTATTTCCCGCGTACCCATGGCCGTCATGTTTGCGTTGACCATTAACGAGAAAACCAAATCGAGACCCATCTGAGGTTTTTACATTAATTAAACCGCTTTGAACACTTATTGTACAAACACTGTATAGGGCAATTCCAACAATAACAGATGAATGAAAAAGGCAACTATGTTCACTGATGTTTGTTCCGTTAATCTGAAGATTTCTGAAAGATTCGTTTCGTATTATAAAAGTAGCGAAGCTAAAGTTATATCCATCTGGTACGAAATTGGTGTATTTGCTGGCATACTGATTTATTCCAGGGACTGTGATCATGAACGGATCGCCATATACTTTAGCCTTAGTTGAAGACAATGCAATGCTGCTCACTAACACAGCCTCAGTGGAATGAATAACACCTATTTCGGGTGAGTGGAGAACAAATTCAACAAATTTATTTTTTAAAATCACTGTTGATGTTTTGATTTGTTTCGTAGTGTATGTAAAATAAGTTTTTACAGCCGATAAAATGCGTACGTGTGATTGGTATCTATGAATGTTTGGTGGCACAACAAAAGTATTATCTAGTTCTTCAGTTGGTGGAACCATTTCCATAAGCATGCTGCAGAATCCATGGTACCCAACATCATTACACCTATTTCCTGCAAAGACTGCAATAGGATTAGAAGAATGAATAGTTGTCCCTGTCAAATCTGCATTATGTCCAATTTGAAATGTTTGATATCTATTTAAAATAATGTTGAATGTATCCCCTCTTCCATAATTTCTTCCCTGTATCAATATCGTTATATCATAATCCGCTGTTAACACTATGCTTACAAGCGTATTGTCTTTCATCGAAGCGACAGTGAAATGACTTCCACTCTCTAAAACACCCTTTGTTGGTGTCGATGTTGATATGATATAGTGTGTTGAAAGTTTGTCAACGGGGAAGACTGTCGTGGAATCTGAAGAATACAGATATTCGGACAAGTACAATATTGATGACGCCGCGGTGGTGTTAATAAGAATAGCTTTATATTCGGTAGTAAAGTAAGAAGGAACAAGAGAATAGTGTACGTTTAACTTCTTCAATGTGGCATTTCCACTTTTATGACTAGATATCGACACCAAGTTTGATCTTTGATTCTCTGACAGTGAAACCGTTAAATTGAAATCGGTTTCTGATGACACAACGATTGTTTGGTTTGTTTCGTTTCCATCCTTGTGGTTTTGGATAAAGCTTACAAGAAAACTTCGCCCTGTGCTTCCTGTAATATTTGTTAATTCTAATTAATATGTTCAACATACATGTAAATAATATAAAATATATTCAAGTTCAAACATTCCTTACCTGAGTCCTTCTTTCCCTGTACCGTTGTTTTTAGGTTTCGATTTCTACACGGGTTGATGATGAATTCATCATTAGTTATCAATTGCCGTGGTATCTTATCTGCTTAAGGAAGCAATAAATATTTGATATCAATTTAGAATAGTTCTAAGAAATAATACTGTGGTTTCATCAGTTTCTTAGGCTTACTTTGTGATTTTGCCAACATTGAAGTTTTGTTGCTATGTTAATTTGTAAACCTCGTCCAATTATATTATTAATGAAGTTTCAATTCGTTAATTACGTAATTCATCATTCTGTGGTTTGGCTGAAAACACGTTAAACAAGGAAAATTTGTATCTGATAATTCATCATATTAGACATAGATGTTTTGTTATGTAAAATGATGAAATTGATCAGGGTTCGTTATCTACGTATTTTACATTGAAATATGTTGATTGTTTGATTGTATGTTGTTTTACGTCCCGTTCGAGAATTTTTTCACTCATATAGAGACGTCACCATGTACCGGTGAAGGGCTTCCAATTTAGACCTTTACTAGGCACTCAGGACCATTGAGCAGTGAGGGTTCTTTATCGTACCAACGGCTACCGTGACACGGGGCCTCGGTTTTTAAGGTCTCATCCGAAAGACCCGTGACTTTCACTTCTAGTGCCAGGCACTTGGTGAAGAAACAGTCGCTAGCTATGTTTACGTATTAGGTTTGACGCGACACGGCGAACGAGAATCGAACGCCGGCCTCCCGATCACGAAGCAAGCCTCTTACAACTAGGCTACCGTGACCGGTTACAGCGTCTTGTGTATGCAAATGTTTTATTCGCGAATCGATCATAGAAAACTGTCACACGATCAATTAAAGTAAAATGAGTTGCTCGTGAGATGCTTAGATATCTCGCTCATAAGTATCATAGAGGGTTTATAGCTTATTCGCTAAAAAAAAATAATAAGCCCCATATGTTGTTCCTACTCAAGCACCAAAGGGTAATGAATTCAATAGATGTAATCCTAAAATAATGGGAATTTTGAATATTTATAAAATTGATGTGACCCTGTTGCAGCTGTGTGAAAAACAGTTTCCCATGTATATGCCTCATGCTTAATTTGATCCCTAATTTAAGTCCCACCCTGTTTACGGTATGGAGAATTTGAACATTGTTGACTTTGTTGGCCTGGTTATGGTTGCATAATTATACTTGTTAATATTTTGAGTGTTTTCTTGTTACTCTAAAACATTCCTATGGAAAATTTGAAAAACCTTCTTAATTAAGCCCAATCTCAGCACTAGGGGCCTTGATTTTAACAAATATATACTTGCACTCCAAAGGTATGCTAGCACTTTAATATGATTTTTTGAGACGCAGTATATTATTATATATAAATTATCACTGTCTTGTGTAATAAAAAAAAATAAACATATTTTTCAAAATATTCTATTTAAATAATTGATCCCCTTTACACCATGATTTGCAAAATTTTGAATCTACACTATATTGGACAGATGATCTTAAAGTTTCGTCTTTTCAATATCTTAAGACATCTGCCTATTTTCACTTTTTTTTATTCATATCCACCGATCCAATTCAAGTTTAACTTGCCACAAGATCTGTGTTTTTATCAGTTTGTTTAAATGAGGAGCCTCATTCGATTTAAAGAGGAAATAATTCAGAAATAAATAGATGTTATTTTTTAGAGCCACTTTGCCCAAAACAGAACAAAATAAAACTTATCCAAACACTTTCTTAATTAATATCAATTGACGTTTGTTCAAATCATGACATATAGGGGTAAGATTCGTAATGAAAGGTTAAACGTGGGAAGATTAAATATGAAGATAACCAACAGTTATTAAACTCAAGAGTCTATTGAAAACAAATTAGGAGTAGGGCAAACACGGACCTCCAAAAGCATACAAGGCGAGATCAGGCCCATGGAGGAGTAAGGAAGATTTACATATGTACAAACCATTCCCATCCCTGGGGTGTAGAGTAGAATGCAAAGGAGCATAGATTTTTTTTTTCTTGAAAAGAACTTCGTAGAAAAAAATATCAATACGGCCATGTTTAGCTATTTTAATATGCAAGCATTCACTGGTAGTGTAGATTTAAAAAAAAATATTTTTTCGAATTATAGTTCTGGGCAGTAGAGGGTCACATTTTGGAAAAATGGATAAGGAGGAAATTCTTAAAAACTACATGCCAGTTTTAAATATTTTAAATATTCCCAACAATCACAATAATTATAAAGAATTAATGTATTTAATAAAATGTATTGAAAAAAATATTATATTTCAATACATTTAATCTCGAAATCAGCAGGACCACCACAATAATGGAAACATGAACGAAATTTTTCATGTGAAAAGTATCTTTTACGCCAGTGTGAATAACGTATGTTTTACTTTTCTCCAGAGCAAATAATGCGCTCGTTGTGACAAGTCCACAGATGAGAAAGCTTATAAGGAGAATAACCAACACAGGTTTCCAAGATTTTGTCGATGTATTCGACTGATTTACATTGGTGTTGACGCTTAATTTTTCGATAGGTTTTGCTCCAATGGGCTGCAGAGAAAATGATAAGTACAATATAAATAGAATTATCGCACATTGTTGAATTAAAATAACTAAGTTTAGAAAACGAATTATAGCATATGTGGTTCCGTTTTTTAATTACTGAAAAAAATGTTTGAAAGGTTTTACCTCAAGATATCCTCCACCATCACTAAATTCCTTAACGAAAAAATAAATAAAAAGAAATCTTCTATAAATACATTTAATGATCGGGGTATGGAAATATAAATTTTTGAACAACATTTCTTCTATACTCTTCTTAATTGAAAATAAAAGGTCCATATAGCATATATGTGAAGAAGAATGTTCATAATTTACAAATGATAAATAGCTTCTATAAAATATTTTTACTTTTATTTATAAACTTTTTGCGTACAAAAATAAGAGAAGGCATCGTAGATGAGGTTTATCTTGATGTATACATTTCAAGTAGTTCGATTAGTTTGTTAATATTTCAAGAACAGTTGACCTAATTAAGGAATTGATTTTAAATTACGTTACAATAAATTAAATCTACTAATCAGAACTAACACCAACAGTATTGCGGGAGAACTCTCTTTGCCGGTCAATGGTAAAAATTAAATGACAGTCAATATTTTCAAGACGAGCTAATATCAATTATGTTGACTGTTTTTCTTTAAAGAAAATATAGAGAATCTTCTTTATTGAATATAACAATGTACATTATAGTTAACTACAGTGATAACTTTGATAATTTTATTTACTATAGAAATCACTGTGAAACTATACTGTTAACTTTGAAAACTTTTATTTCTATATCATCACTTTTTGTTCTGTATATCGTTGTGAATATGTTGATGACTCTTTACGTCTGTTTTGAAGTACTTAATGGAATTCGCAGACTTTGACTAATTAATGTGCCATTCAAATATAAAAAGTCATTGGATCTTTCTTTTACTAGATCCATCTTAATAATACAAACAAGAGGCCCATGGGCCACAACGCTCACCTGAGTAACTTTTACCCTGTTGCTCTTCACCAGATTCTCCTCTTGTAATACATATTGTGGCCCCACCCTACTTCCGGGGGTCATGATTTGAACAATTTACAATCTATACTACCCCAGGATGCTTCCATGTAAGTTTCAGCTTTTCAGGCCCAGTGGTTCTTGAGAAGAAGATTTTTAAAGATTTCTCCTATATATTTCAATGTAAAACTTTGACTCCCCATTGTGCCCCCATCCTACCCCAGGGGTTACGATTTGAACAATGTAGAATTTACACTACCCAAGGATGCTTCCATGTAAGTTTCAGCTTTTCTGGCCCAGTGGTTCTTGAGAAGATGATTTTTTAATGACCCCATCCTATTTTTGTTTTTTTCTTGAATATCTCGCCTTGTAAGGGGGTTTTTCCCTTCATTTTTACAATCTAAACTCTCCTTTACCCAAGGATGGTTTGTATTAACTTTGGTCAAAATTGGTCCAGTGGTTCTTGAGAAGAAATTCAAAATATGAAAAATTTACAGACGGACAGACAGACGGACGGACGACGGACAACAGGTGATCAGAAAAGCTCACTTGAGCTTTCAGCTCAGGAGAGCTAAACACCCACACAGATTGAGGTGATTTTTTTTCATAAGTATCTTTTCATAAGCAGACATTGAACATTTTTAGATTTCAAAAGTACTTACAATAGAAAATTTTAAATAAGAATAATTGGTTAAATAAGAGAATTCTGCAAAACTTGAAAATATTTAAGTTTTAGAATAAGATGAGAAGTTCATCAAAGAAAATGATTTACTTAAGGAATCACTGTCTAGTTAGTAGAGTATGCCAGGGCTTCGCCCGTTATGCAAATTATCCCTTGTTTCCAACTATCGTTGATGTCCCTGGCATACTCTACTAACTAGACAGTTATTCTTTATATTTCCATTTCATTGTGAAATAAAATTGTAAATTTAGATTTTAAAAATGTAGACTAAGAGATTTAAATTACACGAGGCCTCACATGTCAATTTCAATAGTCCCCGCCCACTGACGTCAAACACAAAGACAGGCGCACGAGAATTAGATGCATATTAGGCCTCCTTAGAGTCAGACACAAAGACAGCAGCACGAGAATTACATGCATATTAGGCCTTCTTAGCTCCTGACCTTTCGCTTGGCGAAATTTGCATTCCGTTAGAATGATCAAGAAATCAACTCTCCTAACTTTCAAAGAGATATCACAGAGAAAACAAACAGAAATGGAAATATTATTATTATAACTTTGAAACTTTTATATACTACATGTAATTACCACTTTAAAAAAAGATCACTAGTAATAACTTTGACAGTTTGATTTACTTTAGTGAATTATAGTAAATTATAGTTATCTATAGTTAACTTAAACTTACTAATGAAAGTATTTTTGGTTGGGTTCTTAATAGTTTTATTGATCACTAAGTTATATATTACAGGCAGTTATATAATATTTGCACTTTTTAACAGGAAAATAAAAAATTACAGCAAATATTTTTTTTAAGATTGAAAGAAAATTTTAGATACATGTAGATTGCCACCTTGTATGTATTAACTCTGCAATCAGATACGCGAAATGACTGAAATAATAAATAAAACACCAATAGGAACACTGCATGGTTTCGAATTTTTCGACAAATACTTATCCATATTTATTGAATTGTTTTGAACAGGTTTCTGCATCAACAAAATCAAAAATCATGTATGTTTAAAATTGTAAATAATTATAAACTTTATAAAATAATGTTAAAATATAATAGCTCAATAAATACATACATATAGTACATGTTAGAATAAAACTGTTGCTTAGAGTGTAGTTAAAATAAATAAGGCCAAAAAAAAAAATGATTGGTTCTCAAGCCCCGCCGCATTCAAGTTTACCCCGCCGCATATGTTTTTTTTTTCGGTAAAATTATTCAGAGTATTCCGGAAATCGTTATTTTATCATGACGGGTTTTAAAATTAGAACGCCCAGATCTCTATCATTAAAGCGTTTTTGAATACAAACGGTGAAGTTATATGACTCCGCTTAAAATAGACTTAGATTAGTAGTTTACCTTAGAGAGGACGTTTTGGCGCGGATTCGGACAGTCATGGCACTGTTATCGTGTCAGATTACTTGTGGCCCCATTGTTTTGATGCCTTGGAGCATAATAGGCAATTACAGTGCCAACATATCTGTTGGAAATTTATTTAATTCCATTCGAGACGGTCACATTGGGCCTGAATGGTGGACTTTTCCTTCCAAGTACACGAGTTATGCAGTCGAAGCATCGATTGGAAAATCAAAAACGGATTCGTTTGATAGAGTGATGCTGTCAGTTGGCATCAATGAAACTGTTGGTTTGTTTGGAAGGTATGTGAGATATAATCTAGTTGAAAATCATGATGCAGTTCAATGTGATGACGGGCAAAATTCAGATTCAAGTCAGCAGCGTAATCGAAGTGCTTTTGATGTTCTTATGATGGCCCACAGAAAAATGGTATTACCTGAACCCTATTCAGAAGATACTAAAATCACAAATAACAAGAGAGTGTTATTTAACAAGATTCTGTGTATGATCCAGAAAGCGGGATTGGGATTTACACATTCATCTCTGGAATCAGGTACAACATTAATACATACCCTCACTGACTGTTTATGGTATATAGATCCCTTCTTACACAGAATGGAAGAAAGAAGCTGTAATCTTCCTCTCTTATTTGAGCATCTTGCAGGTTTCAATAACCCAGATAGACACAAACACAAGAAAGAGGATATCAGACATCCTGTCTTGCGGTCTCATGTAGCTAAATTAGAGTTGGCTTTAGAGAGTACATTTCTTAATGGACCTCTGTGGTATCCTATCAAGAAAGCTTTGTGTGATTTGTCAGAAATGTGCAACAAATACTGTATCTATTTGAAAGATGCTGCAAAAAGAACCAGTGAAAATAGAGAACAGATGTTTCCTGTAAGAAATCCAGAAGACACACAGTCTTTAAAAATCTTGTATCCAAAGTATGTTGTCTGTCCAACTGTGATGTCGCGATACAAATCATTGACAGAACATTTATTAACTGCTGATTTCTATGTCCCACTATGCATTGATGAATACACTCCTGTGGATACACGCAAGCGCAGATATTATTTGGAAAATGTTCATCAAGGAATGCAACAGAAGTGTTATTTGTTTCGTATTTCAGCAGGAAATAACTTGGGGACACACAATTTCATATGGCGTGTTTCACCTAATGACACAGAAAATGATATTTTGGCAAAGAACAGTGAAGTAATTAAAAATATAACCAAAGAAATCCCTGTCTACCATACAAGAGCTATGAGGCGAAAGTTTGTTCAGAGTGCTGCACTTGTGTTTGATGTGAAATCCATGTATGCAAGAACTGCATACAAAATATTGACTGGTGACAGTAGTGCATCAACAACAGAAAATGAAAGAAAGATTGATGAAAGAGTTCAACAGGCATTTGATATGCATGATCCCAGTATCATTACAGACTTGCGTGAACACAATGAAGGTCGTCCATTAAAATATGAAGTTTTCTTTGAAAAGACGAAGGAATATCTAGAAAACGTTGTTGAAACCGCTGTTGATGATCGCCGCCATGACTCATTTACTCATCTTGCAGCAGCAATTTCAGTACCAGACTTACTTAGGCAAGTGAAAGATCAGTGTCCTCCTGATACACCAATACCTAGTGAACAATGGCTGCGTTTACAATTTGCTCCAAAAGTCCCATCCAGCATCAGTTCTTTACAGTATACTGGAAAATTATCTGTGAAATTTCAAGTACAGTCACGCCAGCTTCGGAAAGAACATCAGGACTGCCATTATGCCTCTGCTATTTTTCATTACCAGAAAGTTATGGCAGTAAAATTTAGAGACTATAGTACATTTGTATGCATGGATGATAAGCACCATTGTAAGGTAGGAGAACCTGGCCATTCAGTGGCTGCAGTTGAAAGAGGAAAGCGAGTGATTGTGTCAGAATAAAGTTTTTGCAGTATCAGACCATGATTTCACTAAGTTCAGTGTTGTGCCTAGTGTTTGCATGTTAATAGACATACCAGACTCCATCTATGGCTCTTTCTACAGGGGACAAGTATATGTAGGTGTAAAGGACTTGGCATTAGAACCATCTACTCCTCTCCGTCACATGACTGAGCTATCCAAGATTCTAACCCAAGAAAACCAGAATAAGCCAATCTTATTTTTGTACACTGATGGAGGACCAGATCACCGTCTCACTTACTTATCGGTGCAATTAGGGCTTGTATGCCTTTTTCTCCAAGGTGATTATGACATGCTAGTTGCAGCAAGAACACCCCCTATGTCCTCATGGAAGAATCCTCCGGAGAGGATTATGTCCATATTGAATTTGGCTTTGCAGTGTGTTGGTCTGATGAGAGAAGAGGCATCAGAAGAATGTGAAAAGAAATTGAGATCAGCTTCAGGATTAGGACAGATTAGAGAGATTGCTAAGGATCCATTGCTGAAGCAAGAGATTCTGGACAGTATTGAACCAGTGAAGGTATGAATTTTTAGATTACAGCTGTTTTAGTATGCATTTAGAAATATGTTGTGTCTTAATACAATTTGTTTTGAAATTTGATACATGTATTTTAATGCAATTTCCAATTTTACAGATCCTTCTCACTAAACTCTTTGAACGACTACATCTGAAAGAAAAGACCATTTAAAACCTTTCCTGCAGGGTCCAAAGAGGAGATTAATGGCATGTGGCAGACGCTAGAGAGATTTGGGGCCCAGATAGTGTGTGAAATGTCACAACAGAAACTTTCGTAGGAGTTAAAAGACAGGTAATTTTAAGACTGTGCCATCTATAGCATTTGATTCAAAACTGAAATATTTATGAAATTAAGAGTTAAACTTCATTCAGATTCAGTGAGAAAAATAAGTATTTGAAATGGTATTTCTGATGATAATAATTCCTTGTATTTGTTGTTACTTTTAAGACAGTGGAGTATGTTGGAACTACCATTACTTAAAGGCATGTTTTTGCATTTTCCGTAACCCATATATATGTACTAGCTTTTAGATATACTATCTAGATTTCCTAACTCTATCTGTCCAGCAATCTTAATATCTACTAATATGCTTGCATCCTAATAGCTCTTGGCATACTTATTTCAGGTGGTAAAAAGAAAATTAATGTCTTCTTCCAACTGTCTGCATGTTCGTCAACCTTTGCTTTGATCAAATCTCTTTCTCATTTTACACACAAATATGTTCACTATTCTTTGAGAATAAACCAATTTTGACTATATTTTGATGGTGATATTGCAACATACATATACATTATTTTGTTTTGCATACTAACTTCATGTTTAAATGTTTCAGGCCACAGTTACAAAAGTTTCTTGATCACTGTGTGACCAGTAGGGCCTACTTCTTTTGCATTAAGAAATGTGGAGATGCTACATGCACCTTATGTACCCCACCACGGTTACCCCCTGATGTGTTTGGTCAGCTTCATAGATTCCCTGATCCAGTTCCAGGTATCTTCAAATCACAGTCCAATCCATGCTATTCCTTTGAACTCATTTTCATTTTCCCTTAGTACAATAAATATGAGAAGTTTAAAGGCCTCATAAAAATCTTGTTTCTTTTTTAAGGTGAAGAAAATCATTACAAAGATTTTGATGATGTCTTTGGAATAGACACTACTGAAGAGCACAGACCATCTTTGCAGACAAAAATAACCTTAAATCATGGAATACCTTTCTCCCCTAGTGCCCAAACTACTAAAACTGTTCAGAAAGTTGTTTCCTGTATTGTATGTGACAAGCCACGCGTTATTTATGCTGCTAACAAGCTTTCTGCACAAGAACTTGCGCTGCTGAGCAGAATCATTGAATTATATCAATACTCATGTGGTTGTGAATTACAGGATCTCAGAGCTTCAGAATTTACCAAGGCCCCTCGCATAAATTCTCTGTTGGAAAAGGTTTTCGTGAGAAAGAACTTGTCTTGCTCGAGTCCAATTGAGATTCCCTATTTCAGTAGTGCTTGTTTTCCTGATGTTTGTTACAGCTGTGGAAGCAGCGACAATGTACACAAAGTGGATGGTGCATACCCTGTCTGTCTTAATCATACAGATAAAGCTCCCACTAAACGAAAACGTAACTTGTGGAAAGAAAAGAATACCAAAAAACAGAAAGACAAATGACAATTTTGAGTGTTAATTGAAATACGTGATGTAACGTAGTATTAATATGAAAATGATCTTTTTTTTGAAAATAAAAAAAAAAAAAAAAAACCTGCCTGCCTCATTTGATTTTCTAAAAGATGGCCTGAGAACCAATTTTTTTTTTTTTGCTTGGCCTAATGGATTATTCTTATAACAAACAAAAACATGAACATTTTTATATTGTACTGATATTTTGAATGATATTTTTATCGGAAGAAACAAGGTTACATATAAACATTTTCTTACATGGTCCACGTAGATGTAAAGATCTTCTTCTCTTCTGTTACGTTCACCAGTATCCCGAAGATTCATTCTTTTGTCCGTTGATCTGCTACAAAATATAACATTTCTTTCAACCATATACCCTTCTAAAGTGCATGGCTACTGCTGATCCCTTTTTTGTAAAATACATGATTGGCTTTATTTCTGAAATATATATCCTGTTTTTAGCAAATAACAAGCAAGAGTATAAAATGGCCTTGCCCATACCCCAATTAACTGATCAGGACTCAATGTCTAATTTCAAACATCAATATAAAGTTGGAAATTGGAGTTTTATTATGAAAAGTTTCCTCTGCGATTCCAGGTATTGAAAGTCAGGCTTTGTTAAATTGCAATGTTCTTGAATTTTGAATAAAATTGGTTTATTTGAGTACTTTCAGCATAGAATTAACATACGCCCAGCCCTCGGTTCAAAAAAATACAAAATGGATTACAATATGGATTACAATATAGATGTTTTGGTCTATGTAAAATACCAGTATTAAATTTGGCCATGTTTTAATTAATTTTCAGGTTTCCAGGATAATGATGCAATTCATGACGTGGTAATACATGGACTAGAGAGAATTGAGAGGAAATTACGTCATTTTTAATAGATATGGAGTCACCAAGGGTCCATGTAAAATTTAGGGTATTTTCAACTAAAACTGAGCAGTTTTGTTTTTTTCCTAAATTCACAGGGCCAAAATAGGCCCTATGAGACCTTGTTCTTAAATTTATTAATAGTACTGATTCCTTCGCCTAGCTATAATATTTTTGTGAATCAGCGATGATTATGTTATAATATATTGATAACACAATAAGAAACATGCAAAAAAAGTCCAAAAGAAAAAAAAATGCTAATAGGAAACTAAAAGTCTTACACATGAGTCTTATCTACCTTGGCAAAATGGCCGTTTACGAATTGTTAATATGTAATGAAAACCATATACGGTACCAATTTTGATGTACCAGGTGCGCATTTCGACAAATTATGTCTCCTCAGTAATGCTTCTACAGAAGCAGTGGAAATCCAAAATATTTAAATAAAAAAGACCTAAGAGCTGAAATAAGTGCCAAAATCTGGAGCCACATACGTCGAAGAATCAGAGATATGCACAAGAGAAATAATCCTTAATTTTGAAATAAATTTCTAAATTTTACTAGGGCAATTAAATGTATGTCCGTATCTTCAAGCTAGTACCGAAGTACTTAGCTGCTGGGCTGTAGAAACCCTCGGGGACTATCAGTCCACCAGCAGATATAGGCCTCGACCCAGAGGTCATAATATAAATCACATACGGTACAAATTTTAATGCTTCAGATGCGCATTTCAACAAATTGTCTCTTCAGTGATGCTCATGCTGAGGCGTTGGAAATCCAAAATATTGTAATAATCGATCTTGAATTAAGGCTTCAGGGTGATGTGTAGTTTTTCAAACATAACTAGTTTCTTATACAGTCATGAATATTTGAAAATCGTATTTATTCATGGAATTAATGGGCAAACGTTGTGCAAGGCGGTTGCTACCTATTTGCACTTCACTATGAGTTCAGAGTTTCAGTTCAGGTAGGGTTAAGTTGGTCATTTCAAAAGAAACACGATATTCAAGTGCTCATCAGATACATATTAACCAGCTGTTCTCATAGTGGAAGGATTTTATATCAAACTAGATGTAGTCGGATCTCACGATGGTTGAAATTTAAGATACCGATTTTCATTATGTTTTTCGTATTCTTATTTACTCAACACTTTTAACCTTCGTTTAGTTCTAAAATAAAAAAAAAACCCTCAAGTGAAAGAAATATACTTGTCCAGTAAAATTTGAGATATGAAATATGAGATTAAAAATTACTTTTATTCAACACCTGTTGGTAATAAAAAATAATTTAAAAAAAATACTAAATCGACTTTAATCGATACTAAATCGACTAAAAAATACTTTAAAATAGTATCTTTACGTCGCAAAATTTTCAAATCATTTATCTGAATAATCACAGAGTAAATTGTTTTACACAAAATATTTACCTTATAGATACATGATTTCCTGAGGCATATTCCGCCACTCACTGCAATCAGATCAAGGTAAATTGTGGTTGACCTGGTTAAAATAATGATGTTGACGAGACTGTGACCGTAGTAGATATCTGTTTTTTAAAATAATCTTTAGCAAGTCACAATATTGCATAGTGATTGAGGAGGGGAGGGTATGAAATTTGTTTAATTTCCTGATAAGCAGGATATTCATTAGGGATTGTCACGTATGTCCTATCTGCAGGAATTCATACATACTGTACATGTTGCACCAGAACACTTTAAGCACTGGAAGTGGGATACATGTATATTTTCATTCTTTTTACTTCATGCATAGAGGGATACTTGTATTGAGAGAACCTAACGCCATAGTCTTGTTTATCAACAGCAAAGACGTCACACTATAAGTAAAATGTACTAATATTCTTTTTCCTTCTTTTTTTCTTTATTATCTTTTTTTCCCTTGAGGTTACAAGTCTGACAAAAATGCATAAGCAAATAATAAATAATAAATAAATAAAGGTAAACGATCCAGAAACTTATTCAAAGATCCATGCTTGTACTAAGAATTTCTTTCCAATATCATTTTACAAGCTTTATTAAGTTTTAACCATAATAACTTTTTTCAGCCTTTATAACCAAACACTAAAAAATGCCTATTTACGTTGACAATTTCTGATTATGTCGTGCCTGCAGGAAAATTAATGGCCAAACGTACTGATCCCATAATATCAAATATATTCTCAAAACTGCCATTGCTTCTATCTCTTGTTATTATTTCTTGAGTTACGTAAAAACCTGTCTTTTACTATCTATAATACATAAATATGTATTTGGTTGTACATGAAATGCTGTCAAAATATTCAGCTACGTAACTATGCGCATGTAAGATACTTTGAGATGTTCATAACCAGTAAAACGGTATTTTTCCACCTGCCTACTGTAGTTATATGTTACAGAAGCTGCAGCGTTATTGTTGACAAACCAGTCGTATAGAATTCGTGAAACGTTCGTGATCGTTCATGTAACGTGAGGAATCGTTCGTGTATTGATCAGGCTCAATCGTTTGCGGTTTTAATCGTTCGTGATCGTGCGGTAAGAAACGTGCAAATTTCGTTTTGTAGGTTTTTATCGGAATGTAATTTGCTAAACAGGCAATTCGCTTGTCTGTTTTAAAGAAATGAAGCGCGATTAACATAATTGAACGAACTAATTATCGCTAATAAATAAGCAATATAGTAAGTCGTTCAATATATTAGATTTTCTTAAAATATTGTAACATTTTTAAATGATAAATGTATTTTAGATATTCAGCTATTTTTTTTCTGAACATTGATGCTCATTATATTTACTGCAAAGTTTGGTCAAGATTTGTTTTATCGATACATCAGAAATGTATATCTTAACAAAAAAATGAATAATTCTTAATGCTGAAATAAATATTAAGTCGGCAAATGTTACTGACATGATTGTCGAGGTTACTTTCATCAGTGTTTACCTCTGATACTTACTTTATTTTTATAATTTCTGCAAATAAATGAATTGTAAATTAATTACTGATTTTAGAGATTCACCAATGGAAATATTTTTATATGAAATTATTTTTTTAATCTTATTCCCCTAACTGCATATCATAAAGTCCAACGGAATCAAAACTCACGGCCATGCACCTATATTATTTCAATTCTCATAGAACATGTAGCAATCAATCAAAAATTACATCATAACGAAGTCGGAGAGTCTCATAAATAATTATTTGTAATCTAAAATAACTATTAAGTCTTAATTGGTTTCAAAAATATCCATTACTAAGTAATTTTTCAGTGTTCTAAAGTCGATAAATTGCATCAATTATGATATTATTTGTAACTATTAAGCCTTATTTCGTTCTGAAAATATTCACTCCTAAATATTTTTACTTATTTTGGGTAAAGAATTGTGCCTTAGCAATCGTGTAAGATCGTGTAACGTGTAGAATCGTATATATATATATATATATATATATATATATATATATATATATATATATATATATATATATATATATATATATATATATATATATATATATATATATATATATATATTATATCAATATAAAATCTATTTTAATTCTCTAAAACTGCAGACATAAGAATATATTAAGTGATTCCAAAATATCAAGCAAAACAATCAAGTCTTTAGTAGAAAATTATCAGGTCATTTCAAAGTCACTTTTTCGTGAAATGCTGCAAATATTCTTCTCATAAACATTGAAATCTATTTTAATTATCTTAAACTATGCTATCAGAATAAATCAGGTCATTCCAAAATATCAGGTCATGTTAAAAATCAGGTCTTTAGTAGAAAAATTATCAGGTCACTTCAAAGTCGGTTTTTTTTTTTGGGTTGTTTGTTTTGTTTTGTTTTTTTTTTGTTTTGTTTTGTTTTTTTTTTTTTTGCACATGTTGTTACAAATATTTATCTCATAAACATTGAAATCTATTTTAATTGTCAAAAATTATGTTCTAAGAATATATCAGGTCATTTAAAACCACCAGGTCTTTTGAAAATATCAGAGGTCTTAAGTAAAAATATCAGGTCATTCAAAATTATTAGGTCATTAAATTTTGTGAATTTACCTTGATATAAAGCAAACATTCTCAGAATTGTCCCCTAAAATTGTATTTTAGAATAGAATCAGCTTTCCTCATAAATACTTTTCCCCAAAAATATGAAATATAATGTTTAAATTGATAATTTTATATGAGTTTTTTCATCAGGTCAATATCAGGTCTTTCGTAGGTTCCTTCGTGTAACAGGTTTAATCGTGCGTTAATCGTGCGGAATCGTTCGTGTAACGTGATCGTTCGTGTAATTAAGTTGTCAACAATAACATTACTGCCACTGTAAAAATTGTTATGGAATTTTACGTAATTAAGTATCACTATTAGACGCTTTGTAATGTCTTTTCATTTACACAAATACATACATGTATATTGATTGTACTTTTTATTCAGCGTGAAAAGTAATAAAATAAAGTGTTAATTTT